CTGGTTGCAAAAGGAAAGGTAGCACCGTTGAAAACGGTAAGCTTACCACGCTTAGAGCTGTGTGGCGCGTTACTTTTAGCAAAACTGGTTGCAACCATTCAAAGACAACTCAGTTTAAAAGCGTGCAACATATTTCTATGGTCAGATTCTGAGATCGTATTGGCATGGCTCGAGAAGCCACCATGCACATGGAAGACCTATGTATCAAACCGCACCTCTCAAATCCGAGAATATGTTCCAAGCGACACATGGCGTCATGTTGCAAGCAGAGATAATCCCGCAGACCTTGGCACTCGCGGCTGCAATTGCAGGACTTAGCTGCCAATTCACTTTGGTGGCACGGACCGAAGTGGCTCTTCTGCCACTCGGATTCTTGGCCCAATTCAAAGGCCCGCAGCGCTTTTCCGCCAGAAAGGCGCAAGATAGAAGCATATCACGCGCTTGAAGATGAGCTCGACTATCTAGATTGGTTCTCCTCATACTCTCGAGCGATCCGCGTGACCGCATATTTGTTCCGTTTCCTGGACAACGTCCAAAATAAGTCTAAGGGGCAACCATTACTCACCTTGCCACATCTGACACATAGTGAATGCCAAGCCGCAAAGAAGCGCACCATCGACATTTCTCAGAAGCGCTATTTCCCTAGCGAAAAAGATGCCTTGTGAGCGAAAACAGCTATCAACAAAAAGAGTTCACTACTAGTTCTGAATCCATTTTTGGATAAAGATGAACTTCTTCTTGTGAACGGTAGATTTTCACATTCCACGCTGAGCTATAATGAAAGACACCCCATTATCATCCCAACTAAATCGAGGTTCTGCCAACTATATTTGAAGTTTATGCACGAACTGCTTCTTCACGCAGAGACACGTTTGATGCTTCAAATAATTAAAAAGTGCATTTTTCAATGTAAGGCATGTACGCTTTAGAAGCAAAAGACACGCACGCATATAGTGGCCGCTCTACCCCCTGAGCGTTGTACATTCACACTCCCATTTTCTACAACGGGAGTAGACTTTGCATTGCCATTACAAATAAAAGCTTCAGTCTTGAGATCGAACACCTATTTCAAAGGCTATGTTGCAGTCTTCGTCTGCTTTGCAACGAAGGCCGTGCATCTTTGACAACTGAAGCATTTTGAGCAGCGTTTGCACGTTTCGTCGGTCGACGAGGATTTCCATCCAAAATTATGAGCGACAACGGGAAAACATTTATGGACGCCGATCGCGCTATACAACGCGACTTCGTTAAATCCCTTAACGAATGCTCTGCCGACATAATCCAAAAATATGCTCCTCAAGGCATAAATTGGCACTACATTCCTCCCAGCACACCCCACATGGGTGGCTTATGGGAATCAGCAGATAAAAGCTTTAAAATTCATCTCAAAAAAACCGCTGCCTCCCATAAGTTTACGTTTGAAGAATTTACAACACTATTAGTGCCAATTGAGGCAGTTCTCAACTCGAAACCTCTATCAGCTATCTCGCAAGACACCGCTGCCCTCACTGCACTTACTCCTGGTCATTTTATCCGAGGGGCACCGCTTATGGCGATCCCCGAGCCAAACGCAATAGACCTTTCATTGACCAATCGATGGGAGAAGATTAAAATCCTTCGCCACGAATTCAGTCGACGCTGGAAGGAGGAATATCTCAAAGATCTTCAGAAGAGATACAAGTGGAAGAATCCACAGCGAGATCCTCAGCCAGGCGGGGAGTATGTTTAAGCGTCTGCTTAAACAGCGATTTAAAAATAAATAAATGTAACTGCCGTGCGCGTGGAATTACCCGCCTTTTCCTACTATTTCCGTGTGCCCCATCACGCACCAATTCCTCTATTCTTTTTGGCCAAATTTCGAAAAAACACTTCAAAATCAACAGTCCTCGCTCGCGCACGGCAGCTTTAAACCGCGGCTTCATTAAATTTTATATATATTAATAATTTGCCCAAAGTAATTTAAGTTTAAGTACCTTGTGAAATAATATTAAGTGAATTTTGCATTAAAATAATTTGTTAACAATTTAAAGTTGAAAAAAGTGCTTTTAATTTCAACTGTGGGCCCGCTCGACAGCCGACATCCCCTTACTTCCCCTCAAGTCCTTGTGGACTTGTTCCCTTGTTCCTGCAGTTCACACGATGACGCACAGTTTGCTGCGTTCTTCATCGACCCATGAGCCGAGTGATCCACCGCTTAGACTGATAATTTTTGTTTGCTTTTTATAAAGAGTCAAGATTTTTATTTATTGAAAGATTAGAATTATTATTATTTTATCTTTCAATAAATTTTTATTTTAAACCCAAACATTTACGAGTCGCGAACGTCTTAGTCCAACAAAAACAGTATTTCCTATTTTTCTACTATTTGTTAAATATTTCCATAAATTGGTGTTTTAGGTGTAATATTTTAGGAGTGGAATAAATGTAAAATGTTTTATAGAGTTTTTCTCTCTTTTTCTGTTTGAAGTATATATCTTTTTATTATATCTTCATCTTCTTTCATGCATTTAATAATATACACACGCACTCAAAATTATGCAACATAAAATAATAAATAGTATACTAAAAAGGAAATACACGTTAATGTGAACAAATTTAACTTATCATTCATAAATAAATAATAAGTACAACTATATATGTTTAAAGGTTTTTCTTTTAGCATTTCGAATACAATGTATGCAAAAAATTCACAATATAAATTACTTTATAATTGTCATAGTGCATTA